CCGCCCGCCCGCCCGGCAGAGACCGCGCCTTCAAGGGTCGCCGGGGCCAGCCCCCCGAGCTCGGAGCCTCACGCCCAGCCCCGAAGCCCGGCTCTCCTCCACGCCGCGCCAAGGAGGCGAAGGAAGACACGCCCGTCCGCTTTTCCGGGGGAGCCCCCCGCGGGCGCCGTTCTCCTGGCGGCCACGATCCAGCACTCTTCGCCGCAGCTCGGCTGCCACCCCGCCCGGCCACCGGCGGCACGGGAGTCCCCGCACGCACGCACGCACGCAGCCTCGCCAGCCAGGTCTCCCCCGGCGGCCCTCCAAACTAGCGGCTGACCCGCTCGACGGCGCCGGCTCCGCGGGCGAACTTCCTCGGCCGGCTCGAGGGCGCCTCCCCGGCGCGCAGCCCCAGCAGCCCTGCCGCCGCTTACCTGTCGGGTCGCCTTCACAGCCGAGAGTCCTGGCGGGGAGGGGCCCCCGAGCCGCGGTCCATCTCCGCCCCGGGCCGTCGCTGGCTCTGTCCGTCAGCAGCGCCGCCGCCACGTGCCCGGCCCCCGCTGGCTCTGGCGCCAGGGGCCGCCTGGCATCGCCTCTCCCCGTCCCCCGGCAAGGGCGCCCGGCTCCTCGGTCCTGCCGTCCGGCACAGGCGGCGCGCAGCCCTTGCAGGACGCTCCGCACGGCGCAGCATCAGGCTTGCCTTTGCTCTTCGCGCGCCCAGCCCGCGCCTCAGCCGCCTTCGGGGGCTGCTGGGCAAGGAGAGGCTGGCCGCGAGGAAGGGCCGCAGCGACCCCTAGAGCCCCCGCCGAGGACTGCAGCGACCCGTGCCGGACGGCCTGACGCGCCGCGCGCTGAGACGCCGCTGCCTGAGTGGCTCCCCCGGTCCGCTGCCCGCGCCCGCTTGCGGAGAGAGCCGCGCGCAAGCGAGGGAAGAGGTCACGTCGGCGCCCTCGGCTTCTTGCAGTTGCCCTCCTTTGGGAGCCCGCAGGCCTTCAACCTCTCCTCACGTGCTGGTTTCCCCTTCCCACCTTTCCCGGTCACGGCCGCGCCTCGCAGCCGGAAATTCGGCATATAAGCTTTCTCTCCGGCATTGAAATGACAAAGCTTCAGGGCGCTTGTATAGGGCGCCGACCGCCACCCAATTGTTAAAAGCACAAAAGTCCTACCAAAAAAAAAAGGGGGGGGGGAGACGACATACACTACCCCTTCTTTCCTAAGCATACAGGGAAGGGGACAATTGTCTTCTCCATAGCTTTGAGGCAAGGATGGGCACGTGGGACGCTTCATGTGTATGATCCAATTAGGGTTATCCTCGGGTTTTATTCAAACCAGGCTCAGCACCAGCATTCATTCTTAACTCCCAGAATATTCTGTTGGGGAAGATTGGTTAAGGCTCTAATTTGGGCTGTTTGCAAGTGTTTTCTGAAATGCAAGCATCCTAATTCCAGCCATTCCCTAGTATGCAAGTGCACAGGCAATGAGCATATGACCACTGCCTTCTACTGAATCAGACCCTTAGTCCATCGAAGTCACTATTGTCTATTCAGACTGGCAGCGGCTCTCCAGGGTCTCATGGAGAGGTCTTTCCCATCGCCTACCACCTGGTCCTTTTAGCTGGAGATGCTAGGGATTGAACCTGGGACCTTCTGCATGCCAAGCAGATGCTCTGCCACGGAGCTATGGAGCTTGGGTGTCCTGCACAGCTGACCACAGGGGAACAGCAATCATGCCAATGTGATGTAGTGGTGGTAGTTAAGAATTTTGGGCTAGAATCTGGGATCCAGGTTAAGATCTTCATTCTGCCATGCAAGCTTGCTGGGTGACTTTTGGCCAGTGATTCTCTCAGCCTAATTCATCTCATGGGATGGTGGTTGTGCAGATAAAATGGAGGAGGGGAGAATGATGTTGGAAGAGTTATCTCCATTAGGGACATACGTGGGGTATAAATATCAAAATAAATCAATGACAACATTTTCTTCAGAGCCAGTTTGGTGCAATGGTTAAGAGCAGTGGACTCTAATCTGAAGAACCGAGTCTGATTCCCCATTCTTCCACATGCAGCCAGCTGGGTGACCTTGGGCCGGTCACAGTTCTCTCAGAACTCTCTCAGGCCCACCTACCTCACAGGGTACCTGTTGTGGGGAGAGGAAGGGAAGACGATTGTAAGCCACTCTGAGACTCCAGGGTATAAATCCAACTCTTCTCCTCCTCCTCTTCCTCCTCCTTCTTCATGTGACTGCCAGTTCACTTGCAGCCCAAGGACTGCCAGCATAGTTCACTTGCAGAGAAAATATGTGGTGTGAACTATGTAAATGATAGCATTCTAGTTGTCTCAGGCCTATCAATCTATTCCAAGAATCTACACATTAAAAATGAGCCCCAGGAGATTTTAACATTTTATTTCTTGGTCTACAGAGATCATACAGCTTCAAAGACAATAATAATTCAAAGACAATAATAATAATTTAATGGCTATTGACCAAGGAAGCTAAATCAAATGCATTTTAATATTAATCAAATAAGAGAAAAAATCATAATAATTTCCAATAGCATGTTACTTTTCCGTCACTGAAAAATGAATAGCAAACAGAATGCGTTAAATATGATTTTTATTACTCTGTGTTCTACACCAGATTATTTGTCTGATGAAGCTCACACAATTAACATTTCGTTGATATGATGAATATAAACAAGATTGTTTCTGGATTCTTTCACAGATAGTGAGATCCCTGTCCCACAGACATCAATACCGTTCCTGACATCACAAAATGTTTTAGGTATACAATGGAATATGCTGAGTCTGGGTAATTGTCCTTACAACCATTGTAAAGACAAGGAGAAAAAACTCATAGTGGAGATCAACATTGCCAGCAGTACCTTGCGGGACTTGTTCAACATGACTGTCTGCCGACCGTTCAGCAGTAGACAGACGGTCACTTAGGAGTAACCAGTGCTTCTCCAATTAATTCAAAGTAGCTCTCCACTCCTCCTCCAGTGCTGCTGTAACCACTCTCTTACCCTTCCTTTGAAGCTACTGCAGCAGCTTTTCTCCTCTTTCTCTTTCATGCAAAGGAGAAGGAGGCATACATAAGCACGCACCTTTGCTCGGGAATAAGAACATAAGAGACGCCAATGTTGGATCAGGCCAAAGGCCCATCTAATACAACACTCTGTGTCACACAGTGGCCAAAAATACCAGGTGCCATCAGGAGGTCCACCAGTGGGGCCAGGACATTAGAAGCCCTCCCACTGTTGACCCCCCCAAGAAGACTGAGCATCACTTGCCCCAGAGCCCCTATCTATACCTTGTGGCTAATAGCCACTGATGGACCTCTGCTCCATATCTATATATCTAATTCCGAAGTCGCCCCCTGGTGTGCGGATACAACCGCTTGCTCTGGGCATGCGCAGGGAACTCGCTCACTGAGCCACGGGAACAGCGCGAGGGAAGCCACCACATCACTAACCATCCCCGCTGCTGCTCCAACTGCCACAGCAACAACAACCGTCCCTGCATGGAGAATGGACTTACCCATGGAATTGTGGCTGCCGTGCGAGGAAGCTCCGGGTACTTCAGGGACCTCGCCTCAACACTGCCCCCCCCCCTCCATTTCTTTTGTCTGTTTGGAATTTATGGCGAGGACGCCAAGCGCAGCTCTAAGCCCAGCTGCACTTCGCCCGTTTCATCTTTCTGCTGGTGAAGGGCTGCCAGCCAGCCCTGGTCTCCTCCCGCGAAGGCTCTGCT